CAAAAAAAAAAAAATCGCACACATGTGTATGTATGTACATATGTATTTAAATCATTAATCAGATGATAAAGGGGGCAAACCTGGATTTCGTGCATTTTTAATGTTCTGGTTTTGCTTGAAAATATACTGCTAGGATAGTTTATCTTGAACTTATCTTGTTGCAAAGTATCAAAACATTCCTTTTTTATTTCTTATGGTTTCTGTATGCTTTCGATGACAAAATGAATTGCTATATACATTATATCAGTTTACAGGCAGGGAGTGGGAGTGGCATCCGAAAGAAAAGCCTCATTGTCAATCTCATGTGTTCATGTAGGGAGAAGGAGATGAAGTTTCTTGTCCGAACTTTGGTATGATTCACAGTTTCAGTCTTCAAAGAATAAAAAGCCCTTCTGTGGTATTGTAGGCTCATAAATGTGTAAAATAACTGATAATTGCACTTTTGTAGTTGTATGGATCCCTGCACATCTCATCTAAAACAGCGTAAGCAAAAGAAAAAACTTTTTATTTGCATTTTTTATTTCCTCCAAACCAGCAGGCTCCAGATTTTTTCACAATAACTTGGTCTTGTTGGCAAACTCAACCTAATAGAATATTATAATCACCAGAGAACTTTGAAGTCCACATGATATTTGTCTCAAATCTATATTTGATGCAGTAGTTTTCCTTTCCTGATTCTGTGGTAAAACATGGGTTAATACTCTTTTTTTAACATATCTAGAGTTGAAAGTATGCTACTTTCTTACTTATGAAACAACAATTTTTGTTCTTCCACTTAATGTGACTGTTAAGAATTAGTACTAACTTGATGCTCGAAAAAAAGAAGAAGAATTAGTACTAATTGCTTTCATTCTCGTAATATACAAGCCCTTGGATTGTCCTGTACTTGGATGAAAAAGTAGATAATAATTAGTAAATATGATTACCCAAGGTTATATAGCATCAAGTTATTCAAAAAATAAGAATATTAAAAGAATTTTCTGCTATCCACAGCTCTTGATTGTTCTTGTTTGCAATTTTGGCTTTTAGGAGAGCGTGTTAGTTTTGTTCAGTTGACATGGTGTCGAACCAATCCCCTGAGGACACTTTAATCTAAATAAAGACCTAAACAAGCTCTTTTTCCTGTTTCTGTCAATATCAAATTACATTGTATGTTGATTTGTTGTGAAAGGTGATGTATAGCAAGATATCTTGCTTTCTTCTAACTGTTTCACCTCTGCTTGCTTTCTTCTAACTGTTTCACCTCTGCTTACTTTTTCTGCTGTAGGTTAGGAATTTGCGGATTGGAGCCATGATGAGAACTGTTCTTCCTGCATTAGCTCAAGCTATTGTCTTCAATTCTGTTCTTTATGATGGATCAGTCGAAAATATGAAAGAGAATCTGCAGGTTTGTTCATAGGAGATTGACAGGATGGAGATAGTAATCCGTATTTAATTTCATTCCATATGGAGGGTCATTCTTCTTGAATGTTTCACCCTGAGTCCCATGCTTTTGTTTTGGTGGACTACGCTCAAAGATGCTACTCCTTTGTGGAGATGAGTAAGAGTTGCTGGGCATTTGATGTTTGGTGTTCTGATCTGCCTTTTTGTTGATTGAAGTGGGGAAATTCTCTTGATAGCTTGAATTTATGTTTCTACCGTCCATGTCTGCTGCTTTTCCCCTTTTCTGAACTCATTGATATTGCCTTAATGGTTTTCCTACTAACTAGTACTCTTTTTTTTCTTGACGTTAGCGACTTTCAGCAGAAGTAGTTGAGGCATATAACATCCTTCCTAGCTTGGTAAGCGTTATTCAAGTCTAATGGTTTTATTAACAAGACTGGTATTAGGTTCTAAGTTTTCATGCACTTAGAAGTTGTTAGTCGCGTGTGTGTAGATCTTTTGTGATTCTACTTTATGTTAATCATTGACTGGGCCGTATGTTAATTTTACTTCCATTTCACTCAACTGTTTCCAAGTGCTTACCCAAAAAAAAGGAGGAAAAACTACTATTATTTTTCATATTTTTTCTTCGGTGAGCTAAATGTGCCATTTTAAAATAGTGAAGCATTTAAATTTATTCAAGTTTAATAGTCACGTATTTCCTTCTGCAAGAGGCTATCGATGTTTGTATATGATTTGCCTAGAATTATCTAATTTTTATTGTCTCTAATTAATTTAGTGCTCTGTTTTGACCAGGATGTACTTGTTCCTTCTTTGATGGAAAAGGGGATTGAGTTTTCCTTAAATACGTTGTCAATGGATCCAGGCATACCCATCAAACCAATGCTTGCAAAGTACAGATAAATGTGTACTTGTGTTTATGATGCACTTTTTTGTACTACGATTCGTCTTACTGTTTATTTCACAATGGACCATCTCTTATACTTCCTCAATTTTTCGCTGATGATAGAATTACTAATGGCACCCCTCAAGTGCTGAAGCTCTTCCAAAACAAAACCTTTACATGCGAGTACAAGTAACTGCTCGAAACTTCCTTTTCCATCAGTTTTTTTTGGACATTGTAGCTAATTGTTTGATTTGTTTGCTGATCCATCAATGTAATGAAATGGTCTTTGTGGGATAATGAAATTCCTACTCTGAAGAAACTGGTAGGGGGGACATAGATTTATTTAAAAGTGAAGCATCTCCATAGGGATTTTGTCGGACTGGCATATTTCAAGTAAATATTCTAAAATTATGTCCCTTTATGGATCTTTGTGCTTTATTAGTGTCACACCACAATGCTCCAAACTGCATTTTTTATCTTCGTGCAATTGAGAATACTAGGGCATCTATCCCCCTTTCAACTCCCCACCCTCAAAAAGATAGAAATAAATAAAAAAAAGTAAAAAAAGAATGAGGGAAAGAAATTGTGATAACAGAGGTAATATTCTTTTACCTTCTGTATTTTAGCTGATTGCAAGTAGCACCGGGTTCATGTTCATTTAATAACTTTTTTTACCACATACAATTTTAAAGCTATTTTGGGTCTCGAAGGGCTACTTTGGTGGGCACAAAGGGACTAGTGGTGGAATAGAGAGGTCCTAGAAAGAGTAGAAGCCAAGAAAGCGGCGTATCTGAAGATGGTGGAGAACAAGGACGAGGAGGAGAAGAGGGCGAATAAGGAGTGGTACAAGAAGACCAAAGAGGCTAAGTTAGCGGTTACGGTAGCTAAGACTGCAACATTTGGACGTTTGTACAAGGAACTTAGGGACAAAAATGGGGACAAGAAGCTGTACAGGCTAGCCAAGGTGAGAGAAAGGAAGGCTCATGATCTGGACCAAGTGAAGTGTATTAAAGACGAGGATGCCAGAGTATTGATGGAAGAGGCGCATATCAGGCAGAGGTGGTAGACTTACTTCCATAAACTCCTAAATGAAGAGGGAGACATGGACATCGTGTTAGGGATTTGGAGCACTCCGAGAGTCGTCGAGATTTTGGTTATTGTAGGCGTATTAAAATTGAGGAGGTCGAGGGGTCGATGCGTAAGATGAGTAGGGGGAGAGCGACCGAGCTAGACGAAATTTCAATGGAATTTTGGAAGAGCGTGAGCAAGGCAGGCTTGGAGTGGCTCACTGGGTTATTTAACATCATATTTAGGACGACGAAGATGCCTGAAGAATGGAGGTGGAGTACGAGATATCCAAAATTGCAACAGCTATAGGGGTATCAAACTGCTGAGTCACACTATGAAAGTTTGGGAGAAGGTGGTGGAAGCAAGGGTGAGTAGGAGTGTCTCTGAAAACCAGTTCGGATTCATGCCGGGTCGTTCGACTGCGGAAGCCATTCACCTTGTAAGGAGGTTGGTGGAACAGTATAGGGAGAGGAAGAAGGACTTGCACATGGTGTTTATTGATCTAGAGAAAGCATATGACAAAGTTCCCGGGAGGTTCTATGGAGATGTTTGTAGGCTAGAGGTGTTCCTGTAGCGTATACTAGGGTGATTCAGGACATGTATGGAGGAGCTAAAACTCAGGTGAGGACAGTGGGAGGGAACTCGGACCACTTTCCAGTTGTGATGGGGTTGCACCAGGGGTTGGCTCTTAGTCCATTTTTATTTGCTTTGGCATTGGATACACTGACGCGTCACACTCAAGGGGAAGTGCCTTGGTGTATGTTATTCGCAGATGAGATTGTACTGATTGATGAGACGCGAAGTGGTGGTAACGCGAGACTGAAGTTTGGATACAGACCCTAAAGTTTAAAGGTTTAAAGTTACGTAAGACTAAGACAGAATACTTGGAGTGTAAGTTCAGTGATAGGTCTAGTGAAGAAGAAACGAACGTGAGGCTTGATACACAAATCATCCTCAAGAAAGATAGTGTCAAGTACCTGGGGTCTATAATCCAAGGTAATGGAGAGATTGATGAGGATGTTACGCATCGTATTGGTGCGGGTGAGTGAAATGGAGGCTCGCATTCGGTGTCTTATGCGATAAGAATGTGCCTCCTAAACTAAAAGGTAAGAGAGTAGTAGTGAGACCGGTTATGTTGTATAGGGCAGAGTGTCGGCCATTCAAGAATTCTCATGTCTAGAAAATGAAAGTAGCAGAAATGAGAATGTTAATATGGATGTGCGGGCATACCAGGATTGATAAGATTAAGAATGAGGATATTCAGGCCAAGGTAGGAGTGGCTCCCATGGAGGACAAAATGCGGGAAGCGAGATTTAGATGATTTGTGCATGTGAAGAGGAGAAACGCAGATGCGCCGGTAAGGAGGTGTGAGAGGTTGTCCTTAGTGGGTCTTAGAAGAGGTAGCGGTAGGCCAAAAAAGTATTGAGAAGAGCTGATTAGGCAAGATATGGCTTTGCTTCAGCTGACCGAGGACATGACCCTTAGTAGGAAGGTTAGGTTGTGGAGGTCGAGGATTAAAATTGTAGGTTAATAGGTAGTGGTACGGGGTTCCGGACATTTCCAGTGTTATTAGTAGCAGTTTTGTATTCTAATTTTGTAGATTTCTATCTTCATGTTGTTTCTTTCGCCTTGTTTTCTTTTATTTTTTTCTCGTCATTTCTTGTTGTTACGACTCTTTTCTCATTTTTCCTCGTGCCGAGGGTCTACTGGAAACAACCTCTCTACATTCACTGTAGGGATAAGGTTTGCATACTATCTACCCTCCTCAGACCCCACTTGTGGGATTATACTGGGTTGGTTGTTGTTGTTGTAATAAGTCATAGTTCAAGAAGATACTATGTCTTAAACTTTAGGGAGAGTGAATTGCAGGGTTATTTGGAGTTCACTTACTTCTTGTTGAGTTCCTCAGTTATGTCATTTGAGTACTAGTATCAAAGAGTTTAGGATTCCTATTCTTATTTATTTTTTATTTGATATTGTCGACTTTTCTTCTTATTTGGGTGTTGTTTTTTATCTTAGAGCTGATGCTGTATTCTGTCGTTTTCATGCAAGGGGAGTGATGGCAGCTCTTGTAGTACCACGGTCCTTTATTTAGTAGCCTATTATCTAGTAGGATCCAATTAACTTTGAAAAATACAGGAGTGATTATGTTTTTTTGGTGCACTATCTTCTCTTTGCTTCTATTTTGAGTGAATACTTGAATGCCGGGATTATTGCTGAAAATTTTCGCTTTACGTGGACTTAACAATCATTTCTAATACCAATGGTATCTTGCGGTTTCTTGAATTTCCAACCGAGTAATTGTGCTTTCTGAAAAAATGAATGAATTGACATCTGAAGAGAGATTCTGAAACAATGTTTTAGCGATGCTGAAATATAGCCTGTAGATATTGCTATTTTTGAACATACTCATATCTTAAAGTACTGATATCTATTTTGCAGATATGATGGTCAGCGAGCTCAAATTCATAAATTAGCTGATGGTTCGGTTCGTGTATTTTCACGGAATGGGGATGAAACAACATCTAGATTCCCTGATTTGGTAAACATAATTACAGAATCATGTGGTCCCAGAGGAGCGACATTCATAGTGGATGCAGAGGTATTTCTTATATGGAATTCCACTTTAAGTAGCACGGGACAGATTCGAGGGAAGCCACGTTAAATTAAAAACTTTCGGAGACTTATATGGGAGACAGGATATTATATTTAAAGGATGTTACATAATACCTAATTTATAAAACACAGAAGTTTTAAGACTGTCCTTACAATGCAAGAAAAGCACATTACACCATTCTGTGATATTGCTAATAAAGCATCCAAACAGCTCAATACCAAGTAAAGCATATATAAAGCACAGCAATTTTTTTGGATATTCAATTGAAAAAGATGATTATAATAGAGCAGCTAAAGAAGAAAATATGCCAGCAGAACGGGTAAAAGCAATGAATCAGCACGGTGACCTAGTGGAAGAATTTAAGAAAAAAGAACACGTCATTGGTTCTAACACTACCATGGAAATAATTTGGTATTTAAGTTGGAAGCAGGATAAAGGAGTGGACCCATAATCTCAGTAGTTTCGAACATGTGAGCCAACTAGAGCCGGGGCAGAAGCTCACAGGGAATATATCAAAAAAAGAGCTCTGAGAAAAAAAAAAATTAAAAAAACTCACAGGGAATATATCCAATAAAAAAATTGAGAAGAAAAAGAAACATAAGAAGAAAAGAGTGACTCTGAGAAACAACTGTGAAGAATTCGGAGGGAATTAAAATGATCTATCTTTTTCGCAGATGAAGGCTATAAGTTATGAAATAAATGCACTAAGAAATGCAGTTAGACATATTGTGGATCGTGGTCTTCAGTCGGAATATTCACCTTCTCAACTTCAAGAACAGATCGAAACACTTCAATTTCAGATGTCAAACTCGAGTAAATCAAGCTCAAATCGAAACTTTACTGCTAAGTTCCAACAAGTTAAAACAAAAGGTGGAACCATGCTTTTCTTTATTAAGCCAGATTCTTCTTCTTCTACTCCGATTTTAATTAGAATGCTGGTGGTTCTTTTGGTTCGGCCTTGTGTTTTAGGTCATTGTTGTTTGGAAGACGGTAGATTGGGGAGCTTTAGTAATGTGCTAGGCTTAAGATTTCTCTTCTGAATAATCTTATTGAATACAGTAAGGCCTCCATATTCTTGTGAAGTTTTAGATATACGTGCTCTACAATAATTGGAAACATGTGTTTAAATCAAGGGGCAGTTGTCCATATTAAGGACACTGCTGTCCTACAACGAGTGTGGGAAAAAAAGGGTTCAACATGTGTTTGGAGTTCACCTGGCATGCATCATGTCTGATTGTGTCCATCACCAAACCATGTCGTTATATACTTAAATTTGGTGTCTGTGCTTAATGTATGAATAGTCGAAGTGCCCTCGCAGCCGTTGGGCTGAAATTGTAATCACTAATGAACTTTTGTTGTTTACGACCTCCATCTTTTTTCAGGTTGTTGCAATTGATAGAAAAAATGGTTCAAAGCTCATGTCGTTCCAAGAACTATCTTCACGAGAGAGAGGGACCAAAGATTCCATCATCGCATTAGATAAAATTAAGGTAATTGTCAATCCTCTCAATCAGGAATATCTTTAGCCTTCTGACTCCCCCATAACAATCTAATTTATCATTTGGATTTGGACCTTGTGTTTGGAAGATGGTGGTTGACCCCCTTTCTCCATTTCCACAATGATCACAGCAGATTGCCACTGGAGCCTGTCTTTATTCATTTTTAATCTACATGCTAAAGTAATGAGAAATGTCCCTTGTCAAAAAGTAAGAGAAATGTCTTCTTATGTTATGTTTTATTTTCAATTGGAGTTTGTACACAAAGCATTCCGCATTCATGCAGGGTCCGGGGAAGGGCCGCATCCCAAGGGGTGTGATATTTGTACCTTATTGATCAACTAAGTTTTTTAGAATATTTATGCTGTGCCTGTGATAGACAGTCCCCCTAAAAGATGTTTTCTGTCTGTAAAAATATATTCTGTTATCTGACATCTCTTTCTTTTTACCATTCTTTGTGCAGGTTGAGATATGCATTTTTGTCTTCGATATTATGTTTGCAAATGGAGAACAGTAATTACTAAAACCATTTCTCCAATTTTGTTGTGGATGGCAATACCTGCTGTTACACATTTGTCTATCCTTAACGGTACTGGTTTCATAGTAATCATGTTTTGTGTCGGTGAAAATACACCAGTTTTGATCTATAAATCTCATTTAATGAGTTGGGGTAGTTTGTTAATATTGTTAAGCTTTGATAGTTTGATAAATGGATTTACCTGGTGATGAGACACAAAGGTATATGATGTGAATAGGTCTATAATTTATACTCCCTGACAATATATGTTACGGTGTTCGACTAGTCATGGAATTAACAAAGAAAGACCTCTAAAACTTGTGGTCTAAAACTAGCCATAAAATTTTTTGTGGCTCATTATTAAGGTTAACGTGGGAAGTTTAAGTTAATTGTTCCTAAATATAGAAAGATGTCATTCCTAAATATGTTTATGGTATTACTTGTTGCACGTGAAGAAAAATTATAGGGAAGCTTATCCAGTGCAAAGATGCCAATTCCCTTGCGAGAAATGAAACAACGAAAATAAGATTGAGATAAAAGACTTCTTGATCATGCTCCCAAGCTATTGAGTGTTCAAATAGTACGTAGACCTATTCTAAACTAGGAAAGATATCAAGGTTACATAATTACATAGATATAATAGTCCCTTATCGATTTGTTAGTTTACAGATGTGTATAGTGTAGTCTTGTCCCACATTGGAAGAGGAGTAATATCTCCTTTTAGTGTATAGCTATAAATAGGGACCTCTTGTATTGTATTTATCATCCAATATCAATAACATATTTTCTCCCGTGCCTTCTCACATGGTATCAGAGCATTAGTGAGAAAAAATCGTTGTGTGTCATTCCAGCGTTAACCGGGAAGAAAGAACTTAGTCATCGTGCAATTTTTCCGGTGACCTAAGGCTTGTCTAAGTGAAAGTCACTTTCTGTCGGTGTTGTGCTAAAACCAACACCACCACGAAGTAGATCACCCTCCGACGACCAACCCCTGAAATTTTATCCGGCATAAAAGCCGCCACGCTCCTCCACGCGTCGGCAACAACTTTTCCGGCGAGGGTTCCGGCCACTTTCCGGCCATTTTTTCGCGAAGCTTCTTCAGGACAGTGTGCTCTCCTCAAAATTCCGAGCCTACCCATCTAATTCAAATCAAATTCTGACCACTTTTATATTTTTCCGGCGTGAACAGTGATCTTTCCGGCCATTTTTTGAAAACATTTCTTCAGGACAGCTTGCTCGCAAAGGAATTCCGAGTCTATCCATCCTGGTTATGACAAATTCCGACAAACTTTGGAATTTTCCGGCGAGCTACAATGTTTCCGGCGTGAACAGTGTTCCACTATTTCAAGTTAACCCTACTACTACAAATTGTAGCGACATGGGAACCGATGCTTTGAATAGTCGGATGGTTTCTTTAGCAGAGTATATTGAGTTCCTTCAGTATAAAACATGTAAGCGGACATCTTCTGAGATAGCTTCTGTTGTTCAAACAGGTAATAGCGTGACTTGTTTCTCCCAATCTTCATCCTCTGAGTNGTCATTGATTCAGGTGCATCAGATCATATTTCTGGTAACAAATCTCTTTTCACTACTATTTCGTATTCTCAATCTCTTCCAATGGTCACAATGGCCAATGGGTCTCAAACCATGGCAACTGCAATAGGTCAAGCAAGCCCACTTCCT